GAGGCAGGAGACTCGCTTGAGCCCAGGAGTTGGAGGTTGCTATGAGCTGTGATGCCAAGGCACTCTACCCAGGGGGACAGCTTGAGGCTCTGTCTCAAAAAATAAATAAATAAATAAGTAAAATTATTAAAAAAGGAAAGAAAATCAGTGGTCTTGGGTGCCAGTCCCATATGCCAGAGGTGGCAGGCTCAAACCCAGTCCTGGCCAAAAACTGCAAAAAAAAGAAAAAAGAAAAAGAAAAGGAAATCACTGGTCTAGACAAAGACCTAAGATTCTGGGCCCTGCATGTGAAACCCCAAACCAGCCTTCACTGCCTGTGCCTCTGGCTCCTCCTGTTACTCTGTTTTCCCACCCCTAAGCCTTTACCCAGGCTGTGCCCTCTGCCCAGGAAAGCTCTCCCCATACCCCGTGTTCACCTTGCTAGCACCAGCTAATCCCACAGAACATGTCCCCTCCCTCTGGTACTACCCTGGGCCAAAATGCCTTTCTCCAGGCCCCACATTGCCTGAGCACTGTCATTACTGCTCCAACCATATGTGTGGGAACCACCCATTGGTGCCCAGCACCCCAAGAGTTCTGTTGGGGCAGGGAGCTGAGTCTGGCACCTTCTGGGATCATAATGGCCAAACAACACTTCTGACTCTCTTCTGGGGAGACCAGATCCCCTCTCTGGGAACATAGTTTTACACACACCCAAATGGCCAGACCTGGGGAACATGCAGACCCCCAAGAGAAAATGGACACAAAAACCAAAGTTAAGTCTAAATGGCCAGTGGCAGATGGAAAATATTTCCCAAGGGGTAGGTTCCTCATGGGGGAGCAGAAGGAAACATAATTTTTTTTATTTTTTGAGACAGTCTAGCTTTGTTGCCTGGCCTAGAGTGCCATGGCCTCAGCCTAGCTCATAGCAACCTCAAAATCTGGGAGTTAAGCAATCCTCTTGCCTTAGCCTCCTGAGTAGCTAGGACTATAGGTACCCACCACAATGCCTGGCTAATTTTTCTATTTTTAGTAGAGTCAGATCTCACTTTGTTCAGGCTCACCTCGAACTCCTGACCTCAAGCAATCCTCCTGCCTTGGCCTCCCAAAGTGGCAGGATTACAGGAGTGAGTCACCACGTATGGCCAAGAGACATAATCAGAATGGGCAGGCAGGCTCAATGCCTGTAGCTCAAGTGGCTAGGGCATCAGCCACATACACCGGAGCTGGTGGGCTCGAATCCAGTCTGGGCCTGCCAAACAACAATGACAACTACAACCAAAAAAAATGGCCGGGCATTGTGGCAAGTGCCTATAGTCCCAGCTACTTGGGATGCTGAGACAAGAGAAGCACTTAAGCCTAAGAGTTGGAGGCTGCTGTGAGCTGTGATATGCAGCACTCTACCAAAGGCAACAGCTTGAGACTCTGTCTCAAAAAAAAAAAGAATGGGCAGGCAGGTGGAAACAAATGTCCCAGAGAAAGTGGGTAAGGGTAAGCTTTGCTTGGACTTCTAAATCCTAACTCTAGCAGCTAAAAGAGCCACTGGGCTCTTTATCAAAACCTACAGAACATCAGGTGCCCAGAAGAAAGTGCTTGCTCACTAATTTAGACTAAAGTGTGCTTGACTGGTGGAAAGGTACTTCAAAAGTCTTGAATGGAGGGATTTGTTGCAGAGGTTATTCCTTAGGGTGTGAAGCCAGAGTGCCAAGGTCAGATATCTGGTTAACCATGTGAGCCTCCAGCAAGGCACTCAGTTCCCTCATTCTTCAACTATCTATTGTAGTTTGATTAAATTAATTACCCAGGCAGGGCATGGTAGGTGGCACACACCTGTTATCCCAGCACTTTAAGTGGCTGAGACAGGAGGATTATTGAGGCCAGGAGTTCAGATCAGTCTGGAAAACACAGTGAGACCCCATCTCTATGAAAAATAGAAAAGTTAGCCAGGTGTGGTGGCATGCCTAGACTTGGGAGGCTAAGGTAGAAAGAATGCTTGAGCCCAGGGGTTCAAGGTTATAGTGAGCTATGATCATACCACCGCATTCTAGCCTGGCTGACAGAGCAAGCAAGATCCTATCGCAAATTAATTAATTAATTAACCAAAGTGAGGACTTAGAATAAGGCACTTAGAATGCTCCTGGGCACGAATGAACTTAGTAAGGAACACAAAGCATGGGATAGGGGCTGTTCCTACCTGCCATTAACTCCCACAAACAGGAGGCTCCTCCGGTTGGCTGCTGGATCTGTGGGCTCCTCTTTCCTCTTCATGATGGACTGTATGACTGCCTGAGGCCCTCCTAAAGAGGAGAGGTGATATTGGGAAAAACCCTGCCAGCCAGACACCATTCCTGGGCATTCTGTGCCCTGTCCCTCTCAAGGGCCACACCCACTTACCAATACCCCCTGCCTCCTCTGGCTCCACGGAGGCTGCTTGCTGGCTGGACTCCCTGAAGGCGGTATCATGGGTATAGCCCGCATCCTTTTCCGGCTGTGCCAGAGAGGCAGCTGTAGTCCCCAGGGGTGGCAAGGGTGACTCTGCAGGAGTCTGTAAGACACCTGCAGTGACAGAAAATGAGGCGTCCACTGTGAGTCGTAACAGCCAAACAACACTCCTGACAGCTGCTGCCTGGGAAGCGTCATACACCCAGGGCCAGGTGCTGCTTGAGAGTTAATTCTTCCATACCTTGTCAAATCTTCCTGGCCACTGAGGGTGCTTGAATTATTACAGATGAGGAAACTGAGGCACAGAGAGTAGTCAAGGTACCCAGTAAGTGAGTGAGTGATAGAACCCAATCCGAACCCCAATCTGGGACCTGTCAGCCAGCAAGTGGCCAGTGACGGGAAGGACCACGTGGCTCCACATCCTCAGCTTAAGCCCCACCCCCTCTGATACCCAGTATCATACTGAGCACTCAGTATGATCAAGCAGAGATTCGAAGCTCTCCCCTCTGAGACCTCTGACAAGCAACTTAATGTCTTTGTACCTAAAGGAATGACATTTCCAGGTGTTATGTGCAAAGTCAAAACACTGAGACAAGAGAGAGAGCTTAGAACAATACCAGCACATCAAGAACATTTAAGAAGCATTTGCTAATTTGAGAGAATTGTAAAACATATTTTCCTCAGGACTTAACGGTATAATGAGGCCAACCGTGGTGGCTCAAGCCTGCGATCCTAGCACTTTGGGAGGCTAACGGGGAAGATCACTTGCACCCAAGTTTGAGGGTGAAGTGAGTTGTGATGACACCACTGCACTCTGTCCAGGCAAAAGAAACAGACTCTACAAAAAAAAAAAAAGAAAGAAAGAAGGAAGGAAACAATAAGGACTATTATTATACAAAATTAAAATTAAAATCTGAGCTAAGCAATTTCAATTTGAGAAGATAAAGTTCTGGAGGTGGAGGGTGATGAATGTTGCATAACATGAATGTACTTAATGAATGACCTATACACTTAAAAACAGTTACGATGGTAGTTATTTATTTATTTTTGAGACAGAGTCTCACTATGTTGCCCTGGGCAGAGTGCTGTGGTATCACAGCTTACAGTAACCTCAAACTCCTGGGCTCAAGCAATTCTCTTGCCTCAGCCTCCCTAGTAGCTGGGACTATAGGCGCTTGCCACAACGCCCGAGTATTTTTTGTTGCGGTTGTCATTGTTGTTTAGCTGGCTTGGGCCAGGCTCAAACCCGCCATCCTCGGTGTAGGTGGCCAGTGCCCTTACTCATTGAGCTATGGGCACTGAGCCCATCTCTTTTCTTTTCAAACTTGGTAATAAATTCACATCAAATAAACAAACACTATGTGTGGCCAAGTGGAACATGTCAGGAGGTGGATGGGCCATTCCCAAGCTCTATTTCTTCCCTGAACTCAGGAATCCTGATTAATAGTACTAGGAGGGCCAAAAAATGAGGTAGACATTGTGCTCAGTGAAAGAGCAAATGCCAGCTTGGTGCCTGTGGCTCAAGTGGCTAAGGCGCCAGCCATGTACACCCAAGGTGGCAGGTTCGAGTCCAGCGTGGGCCCCCCAAACAATGATGGCTGCAACCAAAAATTAGCCGGGCGTTGTGGCAGGTGCCTATGGTCCCAGCTACTTGGGAGGCTGAGGCAGGAGACTCGCTTAAGCCCAGGAGTTGGAGGTTGCTGTGAGCTGTGATGCCACAGCACTCTACCCAGG